TGAAGACTGGACGTGTGCGCTTGTCGACCATGAAGCATGCGCACTCCTTGCTCACGAAGTCCTTGAACATCTTCTCGTGGCCCCATCTTGTCTTCTGCTGTGGTGTAGTCGTCACTGCGTGCAGCATCGGAAACAACGATCTGGCTTGAGGATGCTGAAGAGACATGTTCGAGACAAGCTACGAACATGCCCTGCTTTGCGAAGAAACTATCAAGAATGATAGTAACTTCTAAACTCTAAAGTCTGGGATTTGCTAGTAAACTAGCGGCAAAAGGAAAAAAAGAGCTATGATAAGTAAACTGGACTGTTTTGTAACTCGTAAATACACTGGGTGGAAACCCAATATACTAACACGAGCTGAGAGCTCGTAGTGCTGTCCGAAGTATTCGAAAGCCTGCCCGTGGTAGCATAAAGCTATGTGCCGTAAGGCAACAACCAACGAACAAGTATTCGAAAACTCGGACAACACTAAGAGCTGTCTGCCTATAGCGCCGGAGCGTAAGACAGATCACTCAAAAACAAAACATTCCAACTTACAGATCGTAGTCTTCCTCGTCCGGTTTTGAAGACGAGCTTCCTGCTTGAGCGACTTGATCCACATCGGCCTTGAGCTCGAGTCGATGGCTGCTGGCGTAGCGGATGATCGCTCGTTGTAGACGGGAGTAGATGTGATGCCGCACGGCGATGAGTAGACGCTGCTGCTTGTCCGCCGAATCAAATGAATGAATCGGGGTCTGCTCAACGCATATACATGCGCATCTCTGCTCTGAGTGTGCGTAAACACTTTTTTTTTTGAAAGTCAATTCAAAAGAAATTTCTGCTTTTCTATTCCAGGAATGGAAAGAAGTGAAGAGGATGAGTGAAGAGCGTAGCCATAGTTTTAGGCGCGATTGCTCGCGCCCTCGAAGTCGAAACTTCCTATGCTACGACTTGCACCCTATGTACATGCTGCTTTGTTTTCGCAACATGCACAAGTCTGACGTAAATAAACAAAAAAGATCTGGAATTGACTAAACAATGAATAAATTCATTGTCGATTTTCTGCTTGGCGCGAAAGCGCTAATGTCTGCTTTATCTTCGTGTTGCTGCGCTTGTTGCTGGCCTTCTGCTATCCGCGCATCCTTCCTTCGATCGGCTGCAGGTGTACGGGCTGCTGCGGACCTGAAGACGGAGCGCCGAAAGCGGCTGAACGCGCTGCAGAGATACCTAAATGAAGATAAAAAGTTCTGCTTTATGTTGGCAATGATTGCGTATACCAATGCATGATGCAAAGGTCAACTAACAACCAAAAAAGCCGTTTGCGAGGTTGCAAGTGAATGCGCGCTCGACTTGAATCTGCTTTAAACGAAGAAAATCAAGTCCGAGGACTTGAAATCTGCTTTAGTTTGCTGAAAAACTACGGAATTCACTGAAGAGTATTGTATAATGAACCATTTCAAAGATAATTTGGAATTTGATAAAGAAATTTTGGCTTTAAATGCTCTTTGGGGCGCTAACGAACGAATCGTACACCACCTCAGGGCGATTTAAACCGTAAATTTGAATAAAAATTTGAAAAACAAAAAGTGGGCAAAAGTTAAATGGTTCAAAATACAAATACCTGCTTCATTCGTGAATCCGTACTGCTCCTAGACCGCGTTCCTTCCAGGGAAGTCGTCATCGGTCCTTGTCCCTCGTTTGCTCGTCAGTGCCCGCTCCTCGTCCAATCTGGTCTCGCGAAAACGACAATTGGAGAACAACTGGAGACTGCCTTGCGAAACTATCAAAGATTACGCTTTTGAAAGCGCAAATCTTTCTGCTTTGGTGGGAATTTCTCCCTGAGCGATTTGCTCCACTCATGAAATGAGTTTTGTCTGGGTTGCTCGTGTCTCCCGAGGGAAATACGAAGCTAGAAGGATCTGGAATGGCGGGTTTCCCCAGAACGAGCAATGGAGAGGACACAAAAAGAAATTTGTGAAGAGAAAGGACTAAAAAGAGATAGAATTTAGACGTATGGAAGGGAAATGACAAATTTTGGGCCACCGCCGGAGGAAATGCCCATAAAAGGCGAGCCCTCTCGTCGGCCGCGCCCTGCTGCGGCGTCGTAGCGAATTTGCTCGTACTGCCCCGCGCAATTGTCGATTTCTCAACCAAAACGTTTGGAAAAGTGAAAAGTGGAAAGAAAAAAGTGAAAGAACGTTTTGAAAACGTAAATTCTATCTGCTTTGAAGGAAAGCTACGTTCGCGAATGGCGATAACGTGTTTCTGACGGGGTCTGGATGGAAAATGGGTCAAAATATCACCATTTCCAGCGCTTTTTTTCTGCTTAGAGTCAAGAAACTCCTGTAGAGCTGGGTTTGGCGAAAGCCAAAAATCGTCTGGGCCGATTTCCTCCATCGCATCTCCTTCTTCTGCCTTTCCGAAGAGACTTCGATCTTCTTTTTTCTGGATTTGGCACAGCCTTCACCTGGCGTAAACGCCAAAAAGTCAGTCTGCTCTCGTCCATCTTCTGGGAACGGATTCCGAAATCCCCTAACACGCACAAGACTTAACTCGTGCTAGCCGGAACGAGCTTGCGGGTGGACCATATCTTCTCCTCCTCGCCCCACGGATCCTGCAACAGCTACGGGCAGACTCAGGGGGTCAGCTCCCGTTTTTCACGCCGGAATTTCATCGGACGGGCAGCCTCAGGGGGGCAGCTCCCGTTTGTGCCGGAATTTTCTTCGGTCGCTTATCCATGGACGCTGCCAGTTTTCAATGGGGAACTAGAGTGGTGAATAATCTCTGCCCTATGCAGGATTAGACTCAGCGCCGGCAATGCCGAACCTGAGAAGGCTGACTCGGCTGATCAAGCTCTCGAGCCCTGCAGTGTCCACTGCTCACTCTGGAATTCATCTTCAACGTTCTGGAAAGGGTTTCCCTTGCAGCGGGGTCTGGGCCTGCGGCTGCAAAAGCCAATAAACACCTGGTCTGGCCGGACCGAGGGGTCTACGGACGAAGAGACTGCTTATGGGAATACGCTGAAACGGTGGAAAAATGGAAAACCAAGTACAATAAATCTGTGATAGAGAGAAAAAGGTAATCACTGGTATCTTGACCTGGGTTTTTACACAACGGCCGACGCACCATGTCAAAAACTATTCCTGCACCCCTCCATTACCGGAATAATCCGAGTAATGGCCACGCGAAGGGGCTTGCCACCAAGATAGCAATGACTCTCCAGTTGTTCCCATACCGGTGGATCATCGGGACAGCGGAGGTCTGAGGAATATATATACGCCGAGTGATTTCCCACAGACCACGAATAAGATCCAGTGTATTTACCAATGGAAGGACAGATAGAGATAAAGATTTATGTACATTAGTATATGACATAAATAAATGAACAGGTGAGTAAAAGGCTGGCCTAAAGGGCCAGTAGAAAGAGTCTGGAAGGGAAGGGGAATGGGGTAGACTGATAGGGGGAAAACGCCTGTCTGACTCTAGCTTTAGCCGCACCAGTTCCACAGGGGTAGAACTGGACGGTAAGCAGAGCGCGTGGAACAAGACTCAGAGATACTCGTTCACACGCCGACACCCGTGGGACTCACGGAATCGCCATACGGGGTGGCATAAAAGCCAACACACGCGTAGGGCGATAAATCCGAGAGCCCCCAGAGGGGGCGGTGCCTACGATAGCGCGCGGCCCTGCGGGACCCAGCGCGGTCCACGGGATAGCAAGGAACCTCGGAAGTCACGTGGAAACGGAGTAAATACTCCGATTCCAACGGAACTTTCGACATCAACCCCCAATTCCTGATCCCGGGCCAGTAGCTGAACACCCCGGTAGGCTAGCAGAGATCCTTTGGGGAAAGCTGGGATTTTTGTAGCACTCCCGCCTAGAGCCCGCCCGAACGGGCGACACATCCAAAATATGGTGGCCGCCCTCGAAAATAGGAGAAGCCGCTCGGAGCCGAATATGCAAGAGCAGCAAGCTCTTCCCCGCCTAGCCGGTAGTTAATAAAACTTTAGCGATACCCTAAAGCTCAAAATTTTACTAAAAATACAAATAATCTTGATTTTTATCGATCAAAATTTCGAATTTTACCAACTACAAAAAAAATACTTAGTATCAAAATTTCTAGGCATTTCTGGATATAGAAACCACACCCCCCCTCCCCCGATAATGCGCAAGTACCCAGATCCGATACCGCTACCCGGAATGGTAGATGAACAGAGGAGACCGACGAGATCCACGAGAAGGAGAAGTCGTCGGTAGGTGTGTAACGGAAATCGCAAAGAAAAACCTAGGCACACCACCAGCGAACTGGCCCAACAATCCTACGGCGAGCTCCCGGCGTCGAGTTGCAAGATTTGCATCACAAACCCAATCGACACGGCATTTAACCCGTGATTTCTTTGAATTTAAATATTAATTTTAGTATTAAATGTCTACGAACAACTACCGTTCTTCTCTGTTAACGGGGGGGGGGGGCAATTTTCCGCCAGCAATTACGTACGGTCCTATCACCAAAAAAAATCAGTTTTATAGTGTTTTACACAGTCTTTAGATTGAAAATTCTTAGATATCTCGAACATTTTTGAATTATTGCCCAAAAATGTATAACAAATAATTGAAAAAGTAAAAAGTCCGGAATTTTCAAAAGTATTTAAATAGTTTTTATAAATTTCTAGCAATGAAAAACTACTAGAAAAGGCTATAAAATACAATGTTTATGGTTAACAGGTACGTATAGGCAAAAAATGACCTCCCCCCGTTATCAGCAAAGAACCACAACTATAATTTTAGCTGCGGCCATACGACGTGCTCGGACTGTTCGACAAGGCTCAGCGATAGCTGCCCATTTTGCCGCCTCACAATCCTCTCCACCATCAAAATCTACCTTAGTTGAACAGCAAATTGATGCTTTCAACGAATTTTAATGCTTTACAAAATGCATATTCGCCCCTCACGCATTTTTACCCAATCCTTGTCTTTCTGACGCATTTACGGCGATTGTAATAAAAAATAATCCACTTACCGTCGCCAAATGTTGCCGGCGCCCCGCCAAATCGCAATGAATCCATCGCTTGACAGCTTCGAAAACCTACAATGGGTTTTTGAATGCGCAAAATGGCCCACACAAAACGGTTTTACAATTTTTTGTTCTTTTCAGTAAGTTAAAGTTTGACAGTTAAAATCAATCAATACAGGCAGATCCAACTGATTTGCTTTCAGTTTGTCAAAAATACTTTTGTCGAAATATCTTGTCTCATTTTGTCGAAATTTTGGCCCTTTTCGCCTCGATTATTCGTCTAAAATTTCGCATCGTTTTCGATAAAATGATTTTTCGACATAATGAAAGAAGCCAATCCAACTACCTGCTCCTCAGATTTCACGTGCAGCTCATCGCTTGACACCAATATCAGCAGGTGCTCAAGGGAGAGCTGCAGAAACTCGTCGGATGTGATCACTTGCTAAAAAGATAATAAATTAAGTTTACAATGCCTAATATTATTTAATACACGCGAAAAACAATTTATAATACTCAAGGATCCCTAGAGAGTAATACCTGAAAGTTGTTCTGCGTGTAGACGTCGGCGATCCTCGCCAGCTCGCGGCATGAGTGCGTGTCGGCAAAAGCTCGAATGCCCAGGCAATTCGACGGGTCCAGGTTTTTGCCAAGGTATTCGCAGCAAACATCCTGAAACGGGGGATCAGAAATAAGGCTTAAAGCTATAAAAATATAAAAACAAAAAAAGTTATAGATAAAAACCCATTAAGACGGGCTAACCTGTATTTCGCCCATCTGCAACAAACAGGCCGCCGGAAGGAGTTGTTGCACCGAGCTGTCAGTGATTTTCAACTAAACGCTTCAATAGCTTGTTTTTGACGCGATCCTCACCTCGCCGCTGTAGCAGAACATCACCATTTGTGACAGCGTTTGGCCGTCGATTTCGAGCATTCGTATTTCGCCTAAAAAAATGATTCCGGTGCTTTCGCATTATCGGGGGAGGATCCTTTACGTTTCCATATACTTTTTGTGATTGTTCCAAACGTATAAAATGTTACAAAACCAAGAAAAAATATATTTTCCAACAAAAACCTCATTTCTACTTTCTAAGAAGTTTTCTACCTGAAATCTAGCTAAATTCGCTTAACAATGGTATTAAAATGCTTCCCCCCTCCCCCGATAACGCAAATGTTCCTACGCTGGCTGGATTCCTGGAGGCTTGTGGTGAACATTGTCTTGAAATAGCACGAGCAGGCCGCCAAGATGACGCGATGTGCCGGTATTCGGTGCGCTAAATTCGGTTTTTGCCACGATTTTTTCCGGTTCTCACTCCCAGCCAGCAGCACGACATCGCACAGCTCCTCATCGCGTCGCAACTCCGACAGTGCGTTCATCAGATGGGTGTAGTGGTGTTTGAACTAAAATTTTTCGGGTTTTTATGCAACCTCGTGCTCACCTGATGAACATAGGGGCCCTTGCTGGTTGACGAAATCAACGAATTGCTGTTTTCCGGTCCTAAACAAGATTTTGAACTTGATCTTTGTGGCTTGGTTGTGATTATGGTAAAACCATGAGGGGTTTGCCCGAAAAAACCAAGCTTTCAGCACGAACCAGAGGTCGACGTCCCAGCGCTGGTTCCGGGAAGGTCATCCACGTAATGGGCCATTCGAGCCGCTTTAGAAGAGCTACAGAAAAACCCGAGATTCTGTATCTTCTTTTGATAATGCCCTCTGGAGCGCACTGGGTTACACCTCAGCTTCATTTGGTGATGGGGCGCGAGGGCGGATTGTTGCGAGTATTGAAATGTAGCCACTAGGAGGCCGCTGCCAAGGAACAACACTGACTTTTAAAAAGTCACTTCAATACCTGAAGCGTTGCGGCGATACGTTACGATGCCGAAAGTATGCAGCGAATCTACAACTTAAAATGATTTATCACCGGATTCAAAAACACAACACTTTTAAAACACAACGTTCAATCAAAAAGAAAAACTGTAAAGAGATCGGCATCGGGGAATTGTGAAAACAGTCTACTTCTCCGCATTGTCATCAGCCCGTTTGTCTTGCTCCTCGCCGTCGGAGGAGGAGGAGTCGGTATCGTCTGACGAGTCAGTGTCGCCACCGCTTTCCGTCGACTTGTCCTCCTAAATTCGTTTTTGAAGCGAAGCTAAAAACCAACGTCGTCATTTCCCTCAAGCTCGCGTCCATAGCGTTCTAGTCGGGCTTGGCGCTGCTCTTCCGTTTCCTCGACCTGCAAATTTTCTAGGTTTTAGAGGTCATAAGTGGCTTACCTTAAACTTGGCCTTTCCGTCCCAGTTATAGGCGTCGAGGAGTTTGCCGTTGATCAGGTGCTTGTCGAGCATCTTGATCGCCAGATCGGCTTCTTCGGTATTTGTATACGAGACGGTGACAACGCCATCCGGATTGGTCTGAAAACACCAGCAAGCCATGAGCCTAAAAAATTGAACTTACGTCATAAACGACAACTTTCTTGACAGTCCCGTACTTGGCGCTCAATTTCTGGTAAACTTCCTTCAGGTCGAGCATTAGGGCAGCGTTTTGCTGAATCGATAAAGTTACATAAAAAAATATTGTACAAACCTCCATTTCTTCCAAAGTGAAAACTCCCTTCAGCACGACCGTACAGTGAGCCTTCGGCCGATAGTTTCGGGGCTTGTCGGGGGTCCAGGCAAAGATTCTAAGCAAGCGGTGACGATTCCAAATTACTATCTTACTTGTTCTGCTGCTCCAGGAAACGCTTCTTCTGCTGAGCGGTCAGCCGGCGCTTCTTTTTCGCCGGATCGTATTCGCCCTTCAGTGTGAAGTGCGCCGGTTCCACCTGAAAAATCTAGTTTGTGGCTTGCACAGGTTATACCGTAATTTTCGAGCCGTTGAATTCGGATCCATCGAGGATGCTGAGCGCCAATTCCACAGATTCCGGCTTCACGTATGTACATCTATGTACATCCCGGTTTTCTCAGAAAAAAGACACGAACCGCCCATCGCCCTTCACTGAGCCGTCGGCCTCTCGATAAAGCTTGATCTTGGGTTTGTTGTTACGTGGTTCCACTTGAATCACACCGCACTTTGTCATGAACGCCTAAAACGGGTTTGGGAAACGGATGGCGAGCACGGACTTGGAACTCTTCCTCATCAATGTCAAGCGGTAGATTGGTGACGTAAACGGCCGTATTTGCTTCGTTTTCGATCCATCCTGAAGAATAATCATTCCCAATGCATCAGCGATCCAAATTTACCTTGCTGTGGGACCTTTTGCCTATTTTCTCGTTTCCGTTTAGCGCGTTCTTCCTTCGTCTCCTTCTTCTTTTCTTCCTTTTTCTCAACGGGCACCACCGGCTTCTTCACTTCGATTTTGGAGTAATCATATGCGACGCCGTAGTTTGCCTAGATATTTTTGTACAATAAGGTTAGGATCACAAAACCTGATAGTTTGCGAGAAAATCATCATCCAGCTCTTGTGGCAGCCATTGCTGAGTTGTTGGATCCCATTTCAACTTGACCCCGTCGACGACCTTCTCTGTCTCAGCTCGTTGCTGCTCGTTCCACAGCTGGCTGAGCAGCGTGCGATCGTCCTCCTCGATAACCTTAATGGGGAAACTACTGAAATTCAAACTGTGATACCTCTTCCCAGACTTCATTGACGTACTTCATCATCCGGCCATCGGGCTGCCAGGTCACCCAATGGTCCAGGATGTAGCGCGGTTGGTACTGGGTGTTTGCTTCTAATATGGATTTGCTAGTTAAACAATAAAATATACCATCAGTGAGCCCAGAAGCTCCTTGCTCGTCCTCTCGTTTTTCGGGGGTGTCCGTGTCGGCCTCTTTTTCCGTCTCGAACGGAGGCTGCACGTCGGCCATTTCTGTAACCCAATTACAATCGCATCCGTAGTTCCAAAATGTCCAAAATTATTAATTTCAATAAAAACACTTTCGAAAAGTAATAGGAACGCCACTAATTGTCGTGCACCATGCCTGCGAAATATCTATAGCCTCGGGTACTCTGTTGTTGGGGAGCCGATACTCGTAAAAATTTATCAAAAACCTGTAAAAACACAAAATAACCGGTGTTCATACAATTATACAACGAGAACAAGGAATATCTATAAGGCAGTATGTGTTCCGATATCACAACATGCGAAGAAGCTAAAAACAATTCAAATATCCCCTATATCCACTTTAGCTTCGATGATGCCCGCCGCGATCGTTTGATTGTTGCATCGGATCGTGATCCGGCCGAGTTGTTTGCAAATCTAATTTCAACGTCTTTCTTCCCAAATTTTCAAATTTGTACCGTATAAGGCTCAACAGCCACTTCATGCTCCGTTTCGAGGATGACGACACCAGACCGGTTCTTGGCAAGGCACCTATACAGATGTTTTAGAAAATTCAACGTTCCAAACCGTGGCCTATCCTTGAGCACCTCTCCATTGGTCTTGTTGATCTCGCTGACAAGCTTCTTAAATGTCACCGGCTCGCAGAGGGAGTGACAGTAGAGCTCGGCTTTCGTCCCTGAAGTTGGTTATGACAAGGCATTTTTTAGGGCAACCTTTCATAATCGGGACGGCAATGTCGAAGACGACGATGCGTGCCTTGAACGTTCGACCCGGCATGAGGGCATCTTTTCCGCGACTCGTCAGCACGTGTCCCGGATGGATGGTGTCCGGCTCGAATTGGCCATTGAGCGTCATCAATGCTTGGCTTCCGGTGAAAGCTCCGCTCGCCGCGCTGCTTCCTTCCATAGAAACGGCTGAACAAAAACGAATTGAGAACATGGTTTTACAAAGATACCTTTTACAAATGCGGTGTTCGCGGTGGGCATTATGTACACTTCATCGTTTGCCTCAACATCTCCCGATTCAATTTTCACCGAAACGGAAAGCTGCGAAGTGGTGGCCTTGAAGATATCGTTGATGATCGCCCGTAGCGGCCCGTCAGAAGCCCTGGCAGGGGCTTTCAATCGATCTAAATTGGGTTAAATTGACAGATAGCAGACAAACCAATCAATTCCAGCAGACAAGGGCCGTCATACCATTTGTGCAACAGGGACCCAGGCTTTACGCGTTCCGTCTAGAGATTTTGATGAGCGGAAACTAGCGATTCTCACCAAATTTTCACCAGCCAATCCGGAACAGGGCACGACAGTAATCTTGCTGAATCCGGCTTGTCGCTCCAGGAAGACACGGATCTGCGACTCCACCTCTTTATAGCGATCGGCCGACCAGTTGACTTTGTCCATTTGGTTGATGGCGACGATTAGCTGACTGACGCCTAAAAGAAAATGTTGTGTGGAATTTGGCTTACCAAGAGACCGGATAAGCATCGAGTGTTCCCTGGTCTGACCGCCTTTGTCGAAGCCAGATTCGAACTCGCCAATATTTGCGTTGACAACGAGGAGAGCGGCATCGGCCTGCGATGCTCCTGGGGAAGGAAAAAATATATTGGCGTTATGGTGTCAAAATTCCGTTTTTCAACTTCTGAAACTAGAAACGATGTATCGCGATTAGCGCGTTTTCAATTCAAAAACGATTCCAGAGAAAGTTGTAGGCCTTTGATAGCCCTTACGTACGTATACTTTATGCCTAAAGAGGCATTGTCTTTAAACTTTGTGCCAAAAAAATAAAAATCTCCAAGGTCCGCGAAACGCACCAGTGATCATGTTCGGAATGAAGTCTTTATGGCCGGGCGCGTCAAGGAGAACGATTCGTCTGTGTTCCGTTTCAAAACTCGTCCTCGCGATGTCCATCGTCACACCTCGCGCCCTAAAACTTGAAATTAATAAGTCGCAAATGGAAAATGCCGATTTTCCGGCGGATCCCACCTCTCTTCCTCCGTCTCGTCCAATACCCAAGCGAACGCAAACGATCCCTTCCCAAGCCGTTCCGATTCCTGTCGATATTTGTGCATAACGCGCTGGTCTACGCAATCCAGCTGCAAAAAAAAGTTCTATAGAGTTATCTTAGCAACACCTACCTTACACAACAAATGACCCATCATGGTGCTCTTGCCCGCGTCTACATGGCCGACGACGACCAAATTGATCAATTCTTTCCCTTCTGCCCTTTTACGTTCCCGCCTCGGGGTTGAAGGTGCAGCAAGGATGGAAGCGAGTTGGTTGAGCCTAGATATACGAAGTTAGGCGTAAATGATAAAATACAAACCTGTGAGAGGACGCGTTTGGTGTCAAGCCTTTGGGCGCTTCCCAATTCTCGCGCATAAGGGCCCGCGCTGGCGATTTGGAATCGCTTCGTTTCGTCGATGGCCCACCACGAAGATTTTCGACAACGCGGGGCTCGGGAGTTTCAATTCGGCTGATGCTGAAGCCGGCGGCCTAAAAACAGCGATAACGGCCCTTCAGTATAATGCGTACCTTAACCGGGTCACGTGCTGTGGAAGCGGAAGAGCTCGGCCGTGTGGGTGGCTTGCTAATTGGGGCAAATCCGGGCGGCGGCGGAACCTCGACCTCATCGATCGGAGAATCATCGTCGAAATTGAATGTGTTCTCGACGGCGGCTGGTTTGTCGTCTGGTATAAACTCGAAGAGCCTTGGAGCATTCGCGACTGTCTGATTTGTGGACGTCAGCCGTGTCCGTTGGTAGAGGTAACTCGCTAAAAATCAATAAATCTAGTGTTCACTGCTTACTGTCTGATGGGGAAGCGGTATATTCGTCTTCGTAGTGTTGATCGTATTCATCATCATCGTCCCCGAACATTTCTGAAGCGGACATTACAAAATCCCCAGATAACAAAAAAAATTACCTTCATCGTAATCCATTTTACGCACGCTGCGATGTCTAGCCATTTTGGAATGTCGACGTGCACGAGCCGAAGGGTATCTGTAGCAAGATATTTACGAAAGACTCCAAGCAATAAAGCAAGGGGCCGATTGGCGGGCGAGCACAGCTGCCCGGAGTGGATAGGGGCGAACGGAACACGCATACGCGATTCCTTTTCCCATGGCCTAAAACGTCTAAAACATGCGATGATGCCAACTTTTTCGATATGATTGCCCTTTTCACTTCTGAATCGACATTTATCCGTCGGTAATATGTATGGTTCGACCTTATCCGTATAGGGTAACTTATCCGAACATAGATTACAGCCATTATACAGCGAAATAAGCATCAAAACGACGATTAGGCTTTCTTAATATCACTGTTCACTTGGAACTTTATTTTTGGCCTGGAATACTGTACTAAAGAGGTATAAGCCACCTTGGTTAGTTATTTGGCCGAGCGGCTTCAAATACGCTAAAAAACTATGAAATCAGAGAAAGTGCTATAAATAAACCTTCCATCACTAGAACCACGTGGTTTCCTTGTCTTCGGCAAAAGTTTAAAACTAATATTCATGCAGCCTTTTCGAACATATGTTACTTTTTCAAACTATTTGTATGAGCGTTTCTCTTGCTTTTTTTTTCAAAATGCGGAGGCGACACCAAATTTTTCCCAAAAAATGTGCGCTGGTTCGTAATCTGTATTATCACGTTCGATATTGGGGGCCATTTGATTACTATACACGCCCGATCTCTGTCGCGAGTTTTCTGAGTTTGTTTGGCTCTCGATTTTTCTCCTTTCTGAAGTTTTTGTGGAGCGAAACCCTTGCCATTTTTCGTTGAGGTTTATTACTTTGTCGGCTTCAGTCACGTTTCTCGTGACTTTTTGCTATGTTGCTTTGTTGTTCCTTCATAACTATTTTTTTTCAGGGTACAATGGGTCGCCGTATCAAGGTCCAGAGGAAGGGTAGCAGTACCGTCTTCAAGGCCCACACCCATCACCGCAAGGGAGCCGCGAAGCTGCGCGCCATCGATTACGCCGAACGACATGGCTACATCAAGGGCGTCGTCAAGGACATCATCCACGACCCGGGCCGTGGAGCACCATTGGCCATCGTCCACTTCCGCAACCCGTACCGCTACCAAACCATCAAGAGCACGTTGATTGCTGCCGAAGGCATGCACACCGGCCAGTTTGTGTACTGCGGAAAGAAAGGTATACTTGTTGTTTTATGTTTATAATTGTTTTTAGCCCAAGTCCAAATCGGAAACGTTCTTCCCGTCGGTGAACTACCTGAAGGAACCGCCATCTGCAACGTCGAAAGCCGCAATGGCGACCGAGGCGTCCTCGCCCGCGCTTCTGGTAAATTTGCGATGGATTATTGAGATTTTTGGTTGCAGGCAACTACGGAACTGTCATCGCCCACAACCCCGACACTGGCAAGACCCGTATCCGTCTGCCCTCAGGAGCCAAGAAGGTTGTCGCCTCTGCCAACCGTGCCATGATCGGTCGGTATTTTTATTTTGCCCAACTCTTTTTCCTTGACCAGCAAATTTTCTTTTTCAGGAATCGTCGCTGGTGGCGGAAGGACAGACAAGCCCATGCTCAAGGCCGGAAACGCCTACCACAAGTACAAGGCGAAACGACACAGCTGGCCACGCGTGCGAGGAGTTGCTATGAACCCCGTTGAACATCCCCACGGAGGAGGTAAATTTACTTAGCTGTATCCTTTACGAATTTATAGGTAACCACCAGCACATCGGACACCCCTCAACCGTCGGCCGCGGCGTCAGCGCCGGAAAGAAGGTTGGACTCATCGCTGCCCGCAGGACTGGACGCATCCGCGGAGGAAAGCCCGAGAAGAAGGGAAAGGAAGAAGCTGTTTAAAAAATTGTTTTGTTTTAAAAATAAATTGTTACGAACTCATCCAACTTGTTTTTGTTGCACTAATAAATTTGTTTGTGCTACCGCGGTTGGCAGTTTTACATGGAAGTCGAAGATTATTTTTGAAGGTGAGGATGCGTGCTGCCTTTTTTTTCTTGACTGGTTTGTACTGGAGCGCTGCCCTGCCGCTGCACTTCTCACCTCTGCTGGTTCCTTCCCGCCATGAACTAATGCATCCCTAACTCGGTCGGCTGACATGTGGTGGCATCTGGGACGCAATTTTCCACTCGTTTCAAGTTGGGCTATTGAAGCGGCCGGCTGTCTGTAAAAAGCGCTGGAATGATAGGCCATTCCACACTCGTCCCCTGCTCCCTTGTGCTTATGAGTGGGCGACCACGGCACTCGAAGGAAGTATCGCGATTAGTCAACAAGAGTGATCCAGACAGCCGCTTTCGAAGCCGCGGATCCATCGCAAGCAACAAGCCACTGTTTTTGCCTCGTGTATCTACTTCAGGATCCAAGAAGTTTCAGTCTTTGTTTCAATATTAGCGGCCTAGTTCCTGTTTATTCAGAAAGTTCAGAGCGGGGCCTAGTGCTAAGCCGGGGAGTGCTTCTCGACGAGCTGTCGCGGCTTATTCAGCCAAGTTTGGTGGGCCTGTCCAATTATGTGGCACCTCAAGAGCCCGGGGTTGTCGTGACATTGGGCCACTCCTTTGAGCTGGGGCCCTGATGCCCTAATTATGCACGATGGGGGGGGGCTGTCTGTCTGAACGTCAGCATTTTGCGTCTATGGTCACCGTAGTCTGGTCACTGGCGGGTTAAAATTTTTGGGTGTTTTTAAGATTTCCAGGGGCGATTTATTTTTGGCTATCGGACCTTCGACCCAGTTTTGAAATTTTGGCACCTTTGTAAGGTTTCTAAACTTGTTCGATGGCGTAGCGTTATTAAAGGGATACCCATGGTTTTGGCGGCAAATATATAGTTATGGATTCCAGGCAGTACAAATGACGCTCGAATTTTGTGCGGCAATGGGCCCCCAATGCCGCACAGAATTCGGCCACCTTTCCCTCTTGTGGCGTCCCCATCCCATCCAATGGCTTGCCACTATGGCCTAATGGATAGCATCCAGGCCTACCAAACGGTGGTCCCGGGTTCGACCCCCGCCCGCGTCATGGTTTTTGCTTTTTGAGCCGCGAAAAGGTTGGGTATCCCTTTAACACGACTATACAGGTAATTGAGATGACGTTACAAGGCTTATATAGTCGCAACAAAAATTAAATCCCCCGGAAAAACTAAAGAACCAAATTTTGAGAATGATACTTCTCTGCAAAACCGTTTGCGCGGCCGCTTCGGGTATGCTTTTTTTTTGCAAGTGGTACCCTGGAATCATAAAGCCCAGCGCCAAGACCTCCTAACGGATTCCAGCCGGCACTCCTTCAACAAACAAACGGAGGAGCTGCTGCTTCGGCTGAAATCGAGCCCCCCTTGGAGGCCCAATTTGGCTATTTTGGCCGAGTGCCAATTCTTTTGTGACCGGCCCCATATGGTGGTGCTCAACGAGCGCGCGAGGGGAGCTTTGGGGGCCTAGGAAAGCGGGGTAGGGCTTCTCGGATTTCATCGCCGGTGAGGGGGTGCGCCTCATTTATTTCCACTTTTCTCGGGGGGCGAGCGATTGGCACCTGAGGCGACGGGGAGCAGTTTTCGGCGGGTATCTCCTCCGTCATATTTATTTGGGGTCGAGGGGTGGGTCTCAAAATTAGGTTCCCATCCAGACGCTCCTTGGGCGCATCGCAGATCCGGGGCTGGGCCAAAGCGAATTAATGCCCAGCGGAGCCCGGCGGCGCTTCACTTTTGCCGCTCAGCGATTCGCCCTGAATTTTGTCGCACTTAATTTTCAATATAATTTATCGAATCGAATAGGAATCTCGGACAAATAGAAACTCAAATTTTCACCGCCTGGAAGTTTCACAATCTCGAATTTTCCATAGGCTCCAAAGTAAGAAATTTCCCGAAGTGGAAATTTCGATTCGAAAAATCACAGATTCTGAAAATTCCTGATCCTTACTGTCAAGATTCTTTTTTCGAGATTCCAGTATATCATTTCATGGCTACGCTAGATGAAGGTAGTTTTCCAGAGGTCCGTTAGCCTTAGAGGGACGGGCAAGGCAGGGCCACGAATTTCCTATGGATTTTGCCGCGTGAACGACTCGTAACGCGCCGACATTTCGTAATTCTTTCGTCAAAGTTAAATTTTTACTCTAAGATTAAATTTATGGCTTCCGATACCTGGCCCAGGGCGGTAAAGCGCCGTCCGTTGCTAGTCGTAGTCGTGGGAGCCTCAGTACTGAACTGTTAGCAGGGGGGTTGTCAAAAACCAAAAAATTTTGCAAATTTTCATAACTTTTTACAATCTTTTTGTATCTAAAAACTGCGTCAAATTGTCGGAAAGCGGTTTTAGATTTTGTTATGGACCGTACTGGATTGCTGAAGGAAATTAGTTCCCCCTCGCTAACAGCACAGTACCGAAACCCGTAGCGCCAAGATTTTGAGCGTGCCTTCGGCTCGGCGGACACAAAACATGCGGCTCAAGCGCATTGGTTAGCAAAGAAAGACAATAAGCAAGTTATGGCATGGCTGGGCAGCCGACGGGGACCCTTTGAGGGAGGCGCTGAATAATTGCTGATGGCCTGGGACTGGTCTCTATCCTCCATTTTCACCACCAACCGGGGGACCTTCCCCAAAAAGGACGCAATTCAGGCCACCGTGTAGTTTTTTGTGACTTGGTCGTAATTCTGGCTTTTTTTAGTGACCTTTATGTTTTCGCAATTAGCGAGCGTTTGGACATTTTCTATCCGATCGGGCCCAAATTTTTACCAGCGATGGGAACCTCTAAAAACTATGTGCAGCTGAATTTCTACGCAAAATCTTGTAAAACAAAAATTATCGCTAAAAACTGCTTGTTGGGATACGCTGGTACTCATTTTTGACTATGTTTTCGCAATTAGCCGGCCGATTTTGAGTAATTTTCCCAAAAATCGTCGTTTTCGGGCCGGTCTCGGAGTGCTGTCAATTTTTATACCAATATAGACGTAATTTTCGTAAAGCAAAAAATTCCCCGAGGGCTTCTTTTTTTGACACCCTGTAGTGGTGACGGTCATTTTGTAGAAATTATTGCTAAATCTACAGCCTCTTTCCGGCCCGATAGGTTACCATTCATGGCACACGGATCCTTCTGACTTTGTTGCATGTCCTCAAGGATCCCTGCTAGCCTACCCCATCCCCGAAACAGCAGACTTTAGGGGCTCAATGCTGAAATGATGTTCAGCCTGCTCGTCTTGACCTATTCGATCGCCGGCGCAGCTGAAATACCTGGGTAAGGTTTTCTAAATAATTACTCTTTACTCAATTGGAGCTTTTGCATTACCGGGGGGGGGGGGTAATTTTTGCCGATAACTCCGGGAAGATCTAGGAACTCAATAGTAAGTGTAATTAAAGTAAAATAAAGTAAATTAAATTAAAATTAATTTACTTAAGTAAATTAAATTTAAATTAAGTAAAGTAAATTAAAGTAAATTTTTAATGGACTTTTTAGTGAAATTGAACCATGTTCCAAGTGAAAAACAGCAAAGAAACGTGGAAAAATGTTTGGTCGAAAAGCGATATTTTTGCAAAAATTTATAACGTTTTCACGTTCAGGAATAGTACAATACTGTTTGGCGATTCTGTCCCCCCGATAATACGAAAGCACCATTTAACAATCATAAATATTACTCTTAAAATGCGTAGGATAATGCGTGGATAGGCAACGGCAACAGATAACCCAGCGTTTTCAGATACGAAAAACTGCTCGACGAACAGCGCATCATCAAAGAACTTGTCGAAAACCCGGAGAGCAATTATGACTGGAGGGTCAGACCGCGCGGCAGCTTACAGGTATTTCAATACTTGTGAAAGTACATCTTATTAATTTCTTTTAATTCTTAAATCTATAAATCATCTACCCGTTTTTTGTCGATTTGTCAATTTACGTATTTTCAGCCGCCACCCGACGAGGAAGATCCAACTGGACCCGTGCTCGTCACCGTCAACATGTATCTCAGGTATCGTTTCTTTATTACAAGTTTTATTTTAGTTCTAATTAATGTTAATGTTACTGTATAAAAGGTTTATGATTTGTATCTGTTCATGCGCAAATCGTCTCTTTTCAGAAGCATCTCAAAAGTCGACGACGTCAACATGGAATACTCGCTGCACTTTACTTTTAGGTATTTCAAAGTTTTTTTGATTATCCAGACTATTCGTGGCGATCAACTATTTTTTATGTATTTTAGGGTTCTTTTCAATTATGGTGGTAGGACCAAATTTTTTTAAAATCATAATCATAAATTAAAAATTGTCAAAAATAACTTTAAATTTTTCATTAAAGCTTTAGTAAAGTAATAGAAAATATTTTCATAATGTTTTAATAAAAGTCAACTATGTTTCAGGTGGAAAACGATCTGAAAACTTAGAGATTTTTCAAAATCTGAAATTTGGTCGAAAAACCGAGATCGTTTTTTTTTGTATTTTTTGCGAGAAAATTCTAAATTTTGCGTCTCGGGATTATAAAAATAACTTTAGTGATTAGAAAGAGAGCGAGAGAAAGAGAGAGAGAGAGAGAGAGAGAGAGAGAGAGTGAGAGCTCTATTTATATTAGAAAATTCGGTCCTAAAGAACCAAGATGCTTCCCCCGATAATGCAGAAGCGCATTTTTAGAGAGGAATGGGTGGACGAGCGCCTTTTCTTCGTGTCCGATCGTCTTTCCCACATCGTGCTTTCACCCGGCCAAAAGATTTGGGTATCTTTACAAGTTTAATTTATCAAAAAATTGATCCCCAGATGCCGGACACGTTCTTTCAAAACGAAAAGGAGGGCAAGAAGCACGACATCGACACGCCGAACGTTTTGATACGTGTTTTCAATGGTAATTTTTCCTATTGTATACGTTCTAACGTTTTGCCGATTTTAGGAACGGGTCGAATCCTATACAGCACGCGGTTGACGTTAACCCTTTCCTGCCCGATGCGGTTGTCCAATTACCCGCTCGATGGTTTGTGTTTACATGGTTTTAGATCGGTTTTTTGGTACTGAACTGTTATCGGGGGGGGGGGGAGGCGGAGCTAGCTGCCCTTCAAGCATCATCTTCTTCTACAAGAAACAATTTTTAGCACCTTACATTGTCTTTCTATCGTTTTTAGTAGTTTTTGATCACTAAAAAGTCATGCCAATTCTAAGGAAATTCAATTTTGAATTTTTGATTTTGATGATTTTTATCTGTTCATCACAAAAATCACAGGATCTTTCGCATTATCGGGGGGAGGGTAGTAAATTTTTTTGTATAAGTCTAGAAATGCGTAGGAACTTAATAGGCCGTATTTTAATAGTGTTTTTAATAAAATAAACTATATTTCAACGAGAAAACTATCTTAAAAACGTTCAAAACACGTTTACTAAAGGTAAATTTTGGTCAAAAACGGCCATTTTTTTGGCGAAAATCGATATCTTTTGTATTTTTTTAGTAAAAATTTGTCAGTTGTACTTTTGGGAATAGTGGAAAACAGCTTAGAAACCTTTCAGCTTTTTGTATAAATGAGAATCGATCCTAAAAAAACATTTTTGTTTCCTCCCCCGCCATAAGCCCCCCCCCCGCTAACAATCCAGTACCGTTTTTCAGTGCAAGAGTGCAAGATCGACTTTGCGTCCTACGCCTACACCACCGACGATATTGGTGGGCGGAAAAACGAGATCTAAAAAATGCTTTAGAATATACATGGAAAGACGAGTCGCCGATCCAGATCAAGCAAGGCTTGAGCTTGTCGCTGCCCTCTTTCCTGCTATCGTCAGTGACCACCGGAAACTGTACATCGGTTACAAATACCGGTCAGACTGGGTTTTTTTTTGGGATAGGCGTTTTTTCAGGTGTCTACAGTTGCATGAGTACTATCCTGGAGTTGAAGCGCGAGTTTTCCTACTATCTGCTGCAGCTGTACATCCCTTCCTTTATGCTGGTGGCCGTTTCCTGGGTGTCTTTTTGGTAAATCTTGGCTTCGATGGCCTGTAAAATATCTTTCTAGGCTCGACAAGGACTCGGTGCCCGCACGTGTAACCCTGGGGGTGACCACGCTGCTGACGATGACCACTCAGGTGCCAATAACTCAATAATCAAAATCAAAACAAAAACAATTCCGATAATCATAGAGTGTTTCTAAGCTGTTTTTACTATTCCCAAACGTAAACCTATTAATATAACAAAAAAAGGTTATTTCGCATTGGCGGGGGAAGACCAAATTTTTTTATTAGGATCCTTTTTCAAATATAAATAGCGGAAGTGCTTCTAAACTGTTTTTTTCACTATCCCTAAACGTAAAACCTTACAAAGTGGAATTCAAAAATACAAAAAAAAAAACACGATTTTTTGACAAAAACTAAAACTTTTTGACGAAAATTTCGACGTTATGAATGTTTTAGATATTGCTCTAGTTCAACAGTATCAAATACTTCCTATTAAGGTAATACGTGTTTCTAGATCCACACAATTTGGTTTCCCCGAAATGCGAAAGAACCACAAAATTCCAAACATCGATTTTTCGACCAAAATTAAAATTTTTAGAGAATTTGAAGGTCTCTAACGAGTGTTACCATGTGAAAATTAGCTAAATTTGCTCAAAAAATTGGTAATAATTGTGCTGACTTTAGGCGAGCGGCGTAAACGCAAATCTGCCCCCAGTCAGCTACACGAAAGCCATCGACATTTGGATCGGGGTTTGTTTGGGTGAGTTTTCGGCAACTAACAAGCGATCTGTCACAGAGCTTTAGGAAAAATTTCTACCGTTTCCAGCGTTCATCTTCGGAGCGCTGCTCGAGTTCGCGCTGGTCAACTGGGCGGCGCGCAAGGATCTGTGCCAGAATCGAGGGCGGCGATCGAGCAATTTCTTTCATCGATTGTAGGTTGACTTTCACATTAATAACGGTCGAAAATTTTTTAAACCTTCATAAGTCACTCGGATCCCATTTTGCACTTCCCTTCAGGACCGGCGCTGACTATGAGCTACCCGGTTACTCTTCCGTCCCTCCCGACTCCCCAATAATCTTCGCCAACCCCCAGCACACGTCGTCTGCTCCTCGGCAACCCGTGAGCGCTGTCGGCGTATTTTGTGCAGTATCGTATTCCATTTCAGAAAGTCTCCTGGTGGCACGACACGTGGCACCGGAAGTACCGCGAAAACAGCCGGCGCATAGACCTCATCTCCAGGGCACTATTCCCCGTATTTTTCATCATTTTCAACCTTGTGGTGGGTGCGCAAATTATCAAGATCCCCACGGATCTCTGCTAGCTAGCCCTGCAGTTTGAGGGCACGGAAAGGGTCTGGAAAGTATATCACTACCTATACTTTTTCAGTACTGGTGGCTCTATCTGAGGCCCTATATGTCGGTCAAGAGCCGCGTCCAAGACTAGCCAATCGAGAATTTCGGAAATAACTCTATTTTACCTCACCTTTCAAGCTCCCCCACGGGTATTTGCCCCCATTGATACTTTGCCTGCATATTTTGTGATTTGAATAAAGGATTGAACCATTGGCTTTCAATGGGAAATGTCAGAAATACACGCCAATATCATCTTTTTACCGAAATAATAGTGGAAAATAGAAGCCTTTTTGTGGAAAGCTTTTTTGGAGGGGGAGGGAAAGCCAACGCAGCACTCCTATCCACACTTACGCAGGGGAAAGGGACAGCATCCGTTGACTTGGCGAAAAGAATTGTAAAAGCTTTTTTTTTATTATAGAAAAGGTTGTTTCTATCTTTCTTGTTTTTTGAAACTAGAACTACAAAAAGGTTCTTTTTCAGGTATGGGCACCAAGCTGTCCGTCTCGCTTGAGGGGGCTCTTTCCCCGGAGACGGCACCGCGAACCGATCGCCCGTCTACCTTCGATCCGCAAGCTGGCTTTGAGCGCCCGCGAAAGGTTACTGGCAAACTCAGGATCTTTCTAACATGAATTCTTAGGAACGCGTGATGAAGGCCACTTGGGAAGAGATGGAGCAGTTCCGGTTGAAGCCTGGACAGCGGGATTATTGTGCGCATCACTTGATTGACCTTATGAAGTGTCAGGTAGGCTTTTTAGGCTAGAGGTTGTTGTGGGGGAATTGAAGGTTGACAAGATATGATGATTTATGTATTTTCTAGACGAAGAACGCGCCGTTTGCCGGCCACGCTTGCGACGATCAGCGCGGCGCCTGGGACAAGTGCGAATACGAGGACCATTTGATGCGAATCAAGGAGTATGAGCGAGAACGGTAAAGTGGATAGCTCTCTTCATAAATTTCTTGTTAGGCGCCTTCTTCACCGGAAGCAGCGCAAGGAACATGCCTAGATGAAGAACTCCTTTTATTAAAACAGTGCTTAGAGAACAGAGGATATTTCGTGTTTTTTATTGTTTTAACTGGTTTGTAACAGGTCGATTCGGCTTTTGATATGTACAGAATAAACGAATGAAATACGTCCATACGTGTACTGGGCTTTTGAGTTTACTGCTGCTATCGTTAAATATATCGCATTTTGAATTATGGGGATAACGAGGCCGGATCTTCTTGATAAAATGCTTTTTAGCCATGGAGAGGCTGATACGGAAGCAACTCCCCAAGTTCAAGCAGGGCCGGCCCGAAATCGAGTCGGCAGCATTCGACGCGCTTCACAAATTGACGCCGAAGGACGATCTGGAACAGGAGCTGCTCTGGACCGCTCTGGCTTTTGCTACCCGAAAGTACGTCTGATCGTAGTCTGGTGTTGTGACATGGGCTATTCGATGGCGCTGAAAATCCTGTTTTACTTTGAAAAACAGCTGAACGATAAAAAGCTTGGAAAAAACTCATAAAAGTGCAGGCAAAAGCCGTCCTTTCCGAGCAAATTTTCTCGAAAACCGTGATTGTCCAGCGGTTCTGAAAGCCAGGGCTTGTTCAGAAACTATTAAATTAGCGTTAGCAGATCGCAAGCCTTGTTTGTCGCTTTGAACGACTATGACTTTGATTTAGTTCCGCCCCGGCGTCATTTCTCACTTCGCGCAACTGGTTGACGCAACGAGTGTCGACGATGCACCGACAGACAGCATCCACTTCGTCGGCTCTGTTCATCATGGAATTGCTGCTCAGGAATCCGAAGGTAGCAGCCGCCAAATTCTTACTGAAAAAAACACCTTTTTTTGCAGAAAACGATCGAAGACCACAGTCTGACGATTGACGCCGTCCTGCTCGATCTCCTCGACGATTCTGTGCGAAATGAGGGCCAGGCTGCCGAGGAAGGGAAAGAAGCGGCGATGGCGACATTTGCACTCAGGTTTTTGTTTGTTTCCTTTTACTCTAAGAGTATTTAGGCATGGATCATCGGCGATACCTCGAATCCTGAAGACGCTCACCATCGTGCTCAGCAAGCGGATGACTACGGTGAGCGCCACGGCCGTTACTAAAATGTTTGTTTCTAGGAAGCCGACCAGTCGGAAATTCTACAGCTGAAAGTGCTCGGACAGCCGGCGCATCGTGGCAAATTGGCCAAAACATTGCTGGAGTTGTTGGCGAAGATTTTGGGAAAAGCCAAACCGGGTTCGTGAGCAACCAGGAAACTATTTGTTTTATTTTAGGGGAATCGGTGCCGCTGAACGAGCTGATCGCCACGCTGGCGCAGGTTTTGCGCGAGAAGGAGCTGCAACCCCTCGCTTTCGACATCATCACCCGATTGTCCGAAGCTTCCGGGGCGGCACTGCTCAGCCTGGTGCCAAAGATTGTATCGCTGCTGGTGGGTTGCGCGCTTTTTTTGGCTCATTGTTGTTTTTTTACCTCTAAGAGCCTCTTTTTCAGACATCAAACCTGGACACTCCTTCGGCCGCTCTTTTCGCTTGCATTGGCAAATACGCAGAGCTCTACGGGCCATCTTCCGGTCTCCAGACGCGTCTTTTTGACATCTGGACTTCAATGGTGCAGCCGCTACACGAACAGGTTCGTTTAGTTTTTCTATGCCAAGCTTTTCCGGCATCAACATTCACTTTGCGGTTTCAGGAATACAAAAACGAAGCGGCCTATGCGGTCTCGCAGATCATCACGCGCAGTGGGTACTTGGTGAAGCCTGAGGTAACTCTTTCAGAGAAAATGGTACTTTCGTTTCCTCGGCGGGACCGAATTTTGGCTGAGACGCTAAAATGCCTATCATAACATATTTAAATAGTGTTCTTGGTCAAATTTGATTGCATTTTAAGTGGAAAACTATTAAAAAAACTTTAAAATTTTTTGAAAACCGAGTTTTGGTCGAAATTATATTTTTTGGTACTTTTTGACGCTTTTGCCTTTTGCCATTAATATTATAAAAATTGGACGCAAAAGAAAATTCCGTTCCATTCCGGATAATGCGAAAGAATCGACAAAATTGTTGGATTTTAACTTCAAGACCTTTCTTGTAGGTGCTCCAAACAGTGGCGCGTGCGGCATGTCAATGGGCGCTGCGGTATCCCGGCGTCGAAGCGGCGCACGTCATCGTGGCCTCGCTGTTGACGGCGCAAAATGAGCACGTTCCGCCGCCTGTTCATGTAAGAACATGTTTTTTGCGCGTATGACTGCTTTAGATTGCTCGCCGACTTTGCGTTCTGTGCCCGACATCGGCTGTACGTCCGCGCCTGCTCGGTTTGACAGATTCTCTGGCACGGCCCAGGCTTCATGACGTCGCCTCGCTGCGCGTCCGCTCTCTCCAGCCTGTCAAGGTGCGGTGATTTTATTTGAATTGACAGTTGTCGTATTCTTACTTAATTAATTTGCTCTTAGGAGACTCTCGACGATGAATCGCAACTCCTTCACATCGACGAAAAAGCTCGGGAGAACCGGCGGCTATTGAACAATACAAGCGAACCGATTCCGGACGTGGATATCTGTCTGACCGAGGATGAGATGGAGGAAAACGAGGAAAACCCGACTCATTTTGTATGTTGCAGGGATTAAGCGGTTTATGTTTTGTAAATTTAGAGAATAAAGGGGCCTCTCCACCAGGACGGCGATGCTCAAGAAACCCCAGACTTGGCCGTCAACCTCACCGAGGATGAGCTGGAGATTCTGGAGGACGAGACGAATAGAGCGAATCAAGCACGACTAGCGCAGAAAACGGTATTTGCCTTTTTTGGGGCCATTTGTGATGATTCAGAAAAACTTCAACTCCAAGAAGCGGAAGCGCAATCGCACCAAGGAGCTCACATTTGAAAAGTCTGACGGTGGAGCGCCGGATATTGAGGTCGCTCTTACCGAGGACGAGATGGCCGAAAATGACGCGACTCATATTGTGAAGGTAAAGCTATTCTTATATATCAGATGTAAAGCCTGCCCTCTTTAGGTGCCAATGACAAAGCGGTCGAAAAAGTTGCAGCAAAAGAGGCTGCGATTGGCACAGGTATAATAATTGCCTTTTAACGGCCCTAATCTTATCTTTTAGGAATCACAGAGAGATGAGCAGCCGGAGGCAACGCAAGCGACACCTGCTACGAAAAGCACTGATGGTCAGTATAAGCAAAATTCAGGAAAACCTTTCTTTAGGGATCGCCCGTTCGACTTTCGTCAGCCAACTGGAGCAGCGGTTGGACAAGAAGGAACGAGCCAAGAAGAAGAAGGAAAAGCAGGGCGCCGCTCCAACAAGTGTAGCGCAATCCACGGTTTGTTGTTGCTTTATTTTTCGATAACCCCCGTTTTTTGCCTTGTTTCTAATCGCACTTTTCAGCCCTCCGCCCCCGAAGCCTACCCGCAGTCGGTCCAAGACATCCTCAATTGCTTCTACACGGAATGAATTTTACAAACGTCTAGTTTTTTTTGTTGATTTATTTGTTGCCATTGTTTTGTTTCGCTGTTTGTTTGTTGCGAATAAAGTTACGAAATATTGAGACGCATATACGGTAGCTTGTGAGATGCGCATGTCTTTGTAGTTTGCGACATACAGTTTCGCATGTTTACTGGAAGATTAATGATTTATTTATTTTTTTTTTTTTTTTTTTTTTTTTTTTTTTTTTTTTTTTTTTTTCTTCCCTTTTGTCCCCTCCTACCCAACAAATCTACTTTGGCGACAAAAACCTGCAACATGAATTTTGTGTATTGTCCGAACGATGATTACTACAGTTTATTGTCAGGGCTACAAACGACTGTCGAAAAACTGTTTAGCGGTAAGGGGCGGGGAATTATTTATTATCCCGCGACAATTTACTGTTTCGCATTTACAGGCGCCAAGCTGGTCAATTCTGGTCATCAAGCGGCGGCTGGCCGGAACTCCAGCGAAGCTGCACCCGGAATTCGGGCAATGTTCCACGGCGAATGATGGAGTCTGGATCAGTGTATTTATCTTCACGTGGTCTAGAGTGTCGTAGGGCCCAGTGGATTTCTGCCTCGCCAACACCAGGCTCATAATTCTGGAGTAGAACAAGGAAACAGCTGAACCACAAACGGTCATGTGTAGCGGTAGAAGGTAGCTGTGCTAGATTGATGCTGTAGAGCCGGCAATTCGGCACATCCACCAGCAACTTTGTCACCGTGATCAGCGTCTTTTCAAAGGCGGCCCGCATTTTATGATTTTTCGCCTGAAACGTCTTTTCCCGCTAATGATATTCAGCACTATAGCGAGAGTCAAGCAAAATGTGGAAATTTGAATGTTTTTCAACTATTCCGCTACGTATAGCTTCACAAATTTTGTCAATAATACAAAGAATGGCGATTTTTCGACCTAGGTACAAAATTTAAAGCATTTTTCCTGGTCTTCTGGATAGGTTTTGCACTTACAATATCGTTAAATTCGCTAAAGACACTCGCGAAACAGGCTATGCTACATTACTACCAGGTATACCTGGATTTTAGAACATACCAGTCGTGGCTGCTCGAACTCTTGGTGCGTCTCGATGAACATCATTCGCCGTTGGCCAGCTTCCGGTTTGTGCTTGAAAAAGGTAAAAACATGTACAATTTCTTCGAAGGGTTACCTTTATTGTGGCGGCATTGATTAGTTCGGGGATATATGTCATAGCAACGATATACTCCGTGGGAGAGTTGTAGCTTTGTCGAAGGTGCAGCACCGGCACGTCATGGTGCTGAAAGAAGTGTGTTCGAACTTCATCCATTGTAAAGCCCACGAAGCGAGCTTGAAATTCTTCCGGAAACTATCGATCTACCTTCTCCAAGGTCGCTCGAAAGAACGTGTGGCTGTCTTCCGGCTCCATGTCGTCAGGCCCCACCAAATAGAGCTGAAATCAACGAAGGATTTGAGATTTTCCGGTTGTGCAAATTTTATTG